GTTTGGAGTTCCCGGAGGTCTCGGCTACGCGCCTTGCCTCGGGATCTTCGAACTTGACTGTTTTGTGCTTGGTTCAACACCAAACACTTGTGTTTTGCCTTTGAGAGGTAGGGTAGGGCTTGTAGACCACCCCCACCCATCACCGGCCGTGGTTTGAGGCCACCGGCTGTGTTTTGTGGCCACCGGCCAAATATTTGGCCGGCCGGCATTATAGATGGCCGGTCGGCTATCTTTTTTTGGTCAATTGCATTTTTGGCCGGCCGACTACTGTGCAACTGTTTTGCATTTAGCTCCCCTCCATACACGTGTATGGAGGGATCTCTCTCTTTAGAAGCTTGTCTTGTAAGCTTTACAAGACAAAAAGCTCTATAAGAGGAGCCCTCCTCTCCCTTGTTTAGGTTAGAGAGTTTAGACAGCCATATTAGGGTTTTGAGTTCTAGGGTTAGGATCCATACACATTTTATCTCTATACCTCTCCCTCTTTTTACCTTTGTGTGTGTTTAAGTGTCTTTGTGTCTTACTATTGCACACAAACACATTGTGTTTCACCTTCCCTTAGCTACTGAGGTTCTAAGAGGTTGTTCTTGAGGTTCTTGGGTGGTTTTGAGCTTGGAGGAACAGCTGGTCCACCATTGTTGAAGAGGGTCTTCAAGGGTAACAAGTTTGCCTTTTTATTCCCTCACCACTGAAATCTTGAGGGATTTCAGTGGTAAGGATGGTGCCTTGAAGTCCCAAGAAGGAGAGGGCCACCCCCTCTCCTTGTTATCCTTGAAAAGGACCATTTTTGGCCTCTTGAGGGAGCACCTAGCTAAGCTTCATGTTGACCATGCCTTGGCTGTTTTTTGTGCCTAATATATCATAATATGCATCTATTTTCTGTTGGTTTTGGTACACCATGCATGCTTAGCATATCTACCTTGTAATGCCATGTTTAGGCCTTAACATGCCTTAGGTTGTAAACCGTCGTTCGAGCATGTTTTAGGTCTAGTTTTGTGAAGCTTGTGTGCTTATTTTGCCATGCTAGAGGCCTGTCCACAGTTGTTTGGGTCGGCCATGGCATGCATTATATGCCCCTTTGCATTTTGGCTTGTTGGCCTCAAGTGTGTGAGTATATAGCATGCACTACTTGCTTTATTCAAATGATTTGGCATCATTTATAGCATAATTTCAGTCCCTTTGACATGCTTGTATGCTTGCTTTGGACACCTCTTTGAAGTTTTGGAAGCTTGTCTTGCATGCTCCATGTTTTGGTCATTGTGCATGCTTTTGATTTTGAGCCATTTAGATGCCATCTAGGTGTCCCTTAGGTGTTGTTTAGGTTTGCACTAGACCTATTTTAAGTCCTCTTAGCCTTGTAAGGCTTGGTTAATTTAGTCTTGGTTTAAGCCTCTTGGCTTGCCTTGGGTTTTTGGTTTTGTTTGCATGCCTTATTTGTCTTGTTTAATTGGCTTAACACCCTTTGTAACATGATTTTCAATGCTTACCTTGCATACCATTAGTCCATGCTTAGCCTCTTTTAATATGCTTGAAAGCTGCCCTTGTTTGCTTAAGTATAGGCCCATTAACATGTGCATGTGTGTAAGTGTGTTTGGTCCCTTTTCTTAAGTTTTTGGCCACTATTTTGGGCCTAATTTGAGCTGCCCAAATCATGTTTAAGTCCATGTCTTTGTTTGTTGCATGCTCTCCTTGTATATTGTAGCATATTGGTGAGTTGTTGCATGTTTGAAATCACATGATTGAATGAAGTCACATGTTGGCTTACATGCTTGAATGCCTACATTAGCCATGCACACATGTTAGTTGTATTGCTCTATGCCTTGCATTTCTTGCATGCTCATTTGCATTGCCATATTGCATGCCTAGTTAACATGCTTAGGTTGCATCGCATTGGCATGCATTCTTGGCCTCTTGACTACCCATGATAGAGGTTAAGTCCCCCATTGGTTTGATTATGTGCATTACATTTCATTTGACATGAAAATGCATAACTTGATCTCTTGGGCCATCACGCATTGAAATACGCGATTGGTGGTCCAAGGACTAAGGACCATGTCCCTTTGAGTCATACACATGATAAGGGATAGGATTGGTGCATACATTGCCTGAATTGCATTGCCATACTCTGCCTTGTCCTCTGCTGCTGTCAACTGCAGGATCTACAGGCATTCTATGCCGACCGGCAGTTTTCAGTGCCGACCGGCAATTCATTGGTGGCCGATAGCTTCATAAACAACCGATGATCACATACCACTACCGGTGGATATTCTACTCAGCCGGTGGTGTCTCTCAATGTCCAGAGAAGCAATTCTGAGACTTTGGCAGTCTTCAGAGGAGTGTAGCAGGGAAAACAGAGGCAACTTATGTATGGCAGTGCACTTCCGAGTAGGACCGAGCATGCATCGCATTGGGCTCTCCTCCCGAGGCGGTTTACTATTTTCCCTAGATTAGTTAATTTGCTTAGCTAATTAGATGGCCTGTAATGTTTAATTAGCTTGTAGGTTAATTATCTGTATTATTCTTTCGGTCCCTCCGAGCGAGGGCGAATCTGCAATAAGTGTGGGTGCGTGTGTGTGCATGTCTTCCAATCCCCACTCCTTTCTACCCTTTTATTTACCCGCTTATGATGGTAGACTAGGGCATGTTTAAATTAGCATACCTTATGCTATGCATGCGTGCATCCACACATTTGTCTTACATGCATCGGGCTCGAC